TCCTCTGCCAAACTACTACTTTGAGACCGATTAAGTATATGACAACCAATGCCCACCAATTTCTCCCACCTCTTAAAACTAAATCACAAAAGTAGTTGCGAATGCCTTACCAAATTAAAACTCCTATATACGCATCATACATTTTTACCACAACGTATAAGGTGCGAAATGAAATTGAGGCAAAAGAATAAGTACATTAAAAGTTGACTTGGGAAACTTGAATTGAGACGTACCATAGTGTGGAACATGACAACTGAATTATTCAAATCCAATGCTGCATTGAATATCGCAAAGCAAATTAAAGATAAGAATAATTATGCAACAGAAATAATGTTTGTGGTCTGGAAGCTAAAGTTTAACATTCTTTCGCAACCAATAACTTACCCTGTTTCACCGACCAACAGAACAGGTTCGTTGAACTTCACTGCGTTGCCTACAAGAACTAATAGCCTTCGCATGCTCCTTGTCCAAACAACGTGATCGAACTCCGCACCAAGCTGATGATCCACCACCGAGAGGAACTCAGCCGCGACGGGAGAGGTGTCTTCATTAATGTTGAAGAGACTATGCAGAATTCGAAATTGACGTATAACTCAGTAGAACTACGAAAATAATCGAGATAGAAGGAACGGCTTACTTATCCTCCGCAATCTGCCTTTTAAAAACTTTTTGAATAATATCAGCCACGGCCCTGACTTCATCTGGGTGTCTGGCTCGTCCAGCGAGTAGGATGTATCCTTGTTCTGCTAAGTATCTGTCCCAGTCAAAAAGTTGGTTCTCATCCCGGTTACAGGTGGCCAGACGATAGCGCTCTCCCCAACGGAAAAGGTCACGCAAAGTGATGAATCCATCCTTGCCTTGGAAGATGTCGGAGGCACGTCGAAGCAGCTAAACATGGGACAGATGCTAACTACTATTTTAAAATAAAGTACGCAGATGCTACATAAGTATTGTGCGCCGTACTATTAACAAAGACAAAAAGTTGTTTCCGATGTTCATGATTCACACAGGGTAACCAACAAAAAAGCAAGAAGCATAACACTAGATGCCCATGTACAAATCGATCATGTCTTAAGGAATGGTAGATTAAAGACCACAGATAATTACGACGGAGATTTGGCTTTGATCCAATGATCAGATGGTATCCGCATATTCTTTTACAACTTTATGGACTTCTGTATGGCAGTTGAACAATCTGTGGTGGACAGTGGTCGATCTCTGGGCACAATGCTACAGCCTGAGACAATAATCTTTAATTCACCTGCAGTTGGTGCATCACTTCAACCATCTTGGCGGCACGA